GCTTTTCCTACCAGACCTATTCAGTCCTCTGTGCACCCCATCGCTCCATCATCTCACCCTCAACTCTCTCCTTAGCTCCAGTATTTTATAAGATAAATACTTACAACTGGAAGGTGTGCTGGAACACGGCACCAAGCCTTCCAGTCATGTTATTATCACCCTCATTTCCAGCTTCGTTGCTATGAGGTGCAGCAACAGTAGTGCTGCCTGGTCCTGGTTTAAGTCTGCCCTCCAGTTCTGCTCCTGGGCGCCTTTATAAAGGTGCTGTGAGAGCAAACACTGAACGCTGCAGCCCTCCCGCGGGGCAGTTACAGTTTTGTATTGGATTTGTACTTCCCAGTACCCTAATCTGTATTTGGGTAAAGCTCTAGCCGTGCAATCCTGCTTCCTCCGCCGTGCCAGCACTACCGCTTGATGCAAACGCACAGTGAGCCCCGTAGGAGAACGGAGACGGACACAAATAACCTTACAGTGAAATGGGGCTTGGTTTTCACCACGGGTGCCAGCGCCGGCGCAAGGGAGGAACCAGAACTGCAGCATCCCTGACGCGGATCATCACCGATCCTGGGAAAATGCACCCTCAGAGACCTGCGGATAGCAGCGCAACGTTGACTTCAACAGGGAGCGAGTTCACTACTGCCCCATGCAAAGTCCAAAAAGGCTGAAAATTCCAGCACAAAGTAAACCGTGGTTCTTCCCGATACCCCTTCCTACGGCCTCAACTCCAAAGATTAAATCTACAACTCTTAATAAAATTCTGTCATCATTTCTATCAGTAGTTTTCAGCCTTTAAACTCAAAGTTGTTGTTTTGCGATATAGCAAAGTCTTTGAAGAGGAAGTTTTAATTATGACAGAAATATGAGTTGTTTGTCCTTGATGACCATTGACAGGGAAAGATAAAATTTGTTTATATCTCAGAGCATGAACAAACACAATCATCTAGTTTTTAGAAAACAGAATGTGCTCATAACGTCCCTGAAAGAGTTGTAGCTTGCAAATAAATAAATCACGTTATTCTATTTTAAAAAATAACCTTTTTCTCCTCAGGAGCTGCATGAAAGCTCCACAAAAAATACATTTTACCTGCCACTCATTGTAAAAAACGTAGCACTTCCCAAGACATGTTAATATCTGCTTCAAGTATAAAACTCTCAGGACAGTTTTAATAGACCTTCAATAATTTATGGTGAAAGAGGAAGAAAAATTAAGAGGAGCTAATTATGGCCTCAGTGGATCACAAAGAAACCAAGCACTTGTTTTCAGGGAGATACCAAGAGACAAATAGGTCATGGAAGAGATCAAAGAAAGAAATCACCTCTAGCAGGAGGAAAAGATAAGGAGTCTTTAAGAAAGAGGTGAGCAAATCATTAGGCAAAAGCAGGAGCTGACACAGATGCTTCCTCTTCATTTGCACATTGCCCTTCTTTTGGTGGGTGGTTGATTAATGGTGGGAAAACAGAAAAGGAAAATGCCTCTAGTATATATATGTATATGTGTGTGTGTGTGTGTGTATCATTGCTCTAAATTATGTTCGGAGAACGCACATCCTGCATGCAAAGGTCCAGGGGCTTGGTGACACAAGGACGTTCCCAGCACCACAACCAGTTGCTCCTGCACATGGACGTGGTGTGGATGCTCTTCCCTCCTGCCAGGGCACCTGAACCACAGTGCAGACTCCAGCCAGAGCGCCGGGCTCCTGCAGGACTCGTGTGTTAGGTGCAGGATCCCATCGTGTGCCAAAGCAGGGACAGGCTGCACGCTAGTGGCATCCCTATGAACTGTTCCTAAAATGTGTTTTTATTTCCTTCTAGCTGCGGGGAACTGTATCGAGGTGTCCTAGGATAGACTTGGGTATCTCAAAAGAGCGGTCGTGGATGAGCATCAAAGATTGAATCTCTCACTGTGCACGCGACATGTGACAGGTCTGCTACAATACACATTCCAGCACCTACAGCAGTTTCCCTGCTATTTTATTTTTAAATGATTTTAACTACCTATGAGCAAATACATCTTATTGCCCTACCAGAGACACTGGCCAAACACTGCACAAATGATGCAACATTTAATATCTTCACGTGAGAGTAAAAAAAGTGTTAGAATGCTAGGAGGAGGAAAATAATTACATTGTTTTCAGGCAATAAGACAAAAATCTGTTATTCTACTAGAAAACATGCTGCCTATAGACCACAGGAGGGCATCACAGCTTAAGAGATCAGAAACTAGCACAAGCTGGACAGTTCTTTTCCCACCCTACGCGTCCTATATGTTATCATACACTCTTAGTAAAAGCCAATGGAAAACAAACCTTTAAAGAGATTGTTAGACCAGTTTTAGTAATTTGCAAAACAGATATTTCTGACATGCTGTATCAGGGGCTCAAACCTCTAAGATGGGAATGTTAAAGCTTTGGAGAAGAGTACCAGGAGCAACAGGATATTGAGAATTCAAAAATAGCCCTTAAAAGTTAAAACCTTTTCATTTATTTAAAACGGTATACAAGCACAAAGTCACATCCTTCTAATCTGTTCCAATCCCTTTAATCTAGTTTTTATCAGTGCAGTTGGCTTCTGTAAATCAACAGATGTAATTTAATTAAAAAAAAATGCGACCACCATGTGGGTCATTTTCATGTTTAAGCAAACCTGTGTTGTTGGTATGACGCAGGTTCAATGTTTAGGTCCTTTTTCACCTTTCCGTGGATAAAATCCACAGGGAAACCTCCAGGATCCCTCCATGCAGACTGTTTGCAGAGTGCACTCCGCACCGACATGCTCCTTGAAGGTGGCAATACGGTCCTGTTAATGCATCCTGGCTGGGTGTGGATTTTGCCCTGCTGTTTCTATATGTGCTCCAGTTTGGGACCCATCTTCGCGCAGGCTGCTCAGATCTTCCAAACCGCTATTGCCAAATTCCCCAGGGCCCTTTGGGAATTAAGGGGACCCAGCCAAGCGTGGCGAAGGAGGAGGGGACCTGGGCGCTATTTCCCAGAGATCCACACACGTGCAGGCAGGGCTGCTAATCTAATCGTGTCACAGAGATATCACTAGACTTTCAGAAGCCTCACTCCTACCTGAATCAATACCTCAGGCAATGAATGATTTTGCAGTTGATAAGAAGAAATTTCCCATTAAATACATGCAGCAGCAGCACAGACTTTCCGATTTGTGGAATGTGAAAAACTTCTTAAAAGACATTTGACAGCTATACTGCAGATTTTTTTTTTTTTTTATTACCATTCCTTTTCTTTCTTTCTTTCTTTTTTTTTTTTTTTTTTTTTTTGCAAAATATTTATCATCAAATCTTGACCGTAAATTTGAGACTATCATGAAACAGCAATGATTGGGACAGTCATCAATTTGGCATTGATGAAACCCCATTAAAAGGTGCTACGAAGAAACCAGACAATCTTCTGCCTACCTAGAGTGTGAACATGACACAAGATGGATATTTCTACCCCGTGAAAATTTAGATATATAAGAATCTGCTAAATGAAGCATTCTGGTATTGTATGGATAAGAAGATGACAACAGAGTAACATGCAGAAACTGTTTGTTCCAAGAGCAGAGTCAACAGCTCTTCCTGACATCATCTTCCCAGGCCCTTTGTAAAGAGAACGTGCTGAAAGAGAGAAGAGCAGGGTGAAGGGGAACGTCAGAGAATTTAATTCAATTTAATTCTTTGAACTTGCATTCCCACTTGTTCTTCAGTCCTGCCCTCTTCCTCCTGTCTGAAGCTCTATTTCCTTTTCTTCTGTATTTTCCACTGTAACTAAGTCCTTTCTCCTCTAAAAGTTTATTTAAAAACGGCCATAATTTGAAGCAATGCGATGAAAATAAAACAGAAAAACGTGTTCTGAGAAGTCAGGAAAAGTTTCGGAACATCAAAGAATCTAGCAGTGCTGGGACAGATATGAAAGGGGAGATCTGAGCTATACCTTAGTCCGAGACAGAACAGGATCAAAACGACGTTGATAGTTGGATCAAATCAGAACCTCTTTGCTGACTATGACTCGCTAGGGCTTAACCATTGCACAGAGCAGGAACACTTGAAGGAATTGGGTTTTCCTCCAGCACAGAACATTATCTTTCCTTCCTCACATTAACTTGCACCAACACAAGGGTGGGGAGGACAAGTTCAGTTATTCTGGCTTATTTCTCTGTGCATCTTTGATGTGCTATGAAAGTTAATGCCTATTAAGAAGAAGTATTCCAGATACTTCACAGATATTACCGGTCCCTGGTGCAGCTCTTGGCTACCCTGGCAGCACTTTTAAAGAATTCTTTTCACCTAGGAAGCTGGGAAGTTGTATATATACAGGGTATATAATATGGGGGGTGTTTAGCTGAGAGAAAAATTCATCTCCAAACTCCTATCAACCACCATCAAACCCCCTACAAGTTCTTGAGTTGAAGCAGAAACTCTAAAGTACTTTGGAAAAACTTCTTTTTTTTTAATAGTATTTTTGACATAGTTAAAATGAGCAGGTGCTAGAAGTATTTTAGAAAAGTTTATTCACATGATTCACTAAAAGCATTTTGGTTAAAATTTCAAAACTCACTGACTAAGCTTGAGCATAAGCAAAGGGCTTAAACTAAAATGAGGGCAAGTGAGGGAGGAAGCATTCAGAAAATCCTCCTAACAGTAAATTAGGCAGTAGACATAATCTAGGATTGCAACTGATGTTTAAAAAGGAGCTAAATACATCAAGAACGGGTATAAGTATCGGAAGCAGAAGAATTGGCTGATCTCAGAGATTCCTTCCACTCCCATTTTCTACAAATAGGACAGCATTACAGTTAACAACATTTTCAGATATTTAGCTTTATCCAGATATTCTAGGTATAGCAGTACGTCAGACACCAGGGCTCTTCCAAATGTGTCGTGTGAAGTTTCCACTCTCTAATTTATCACTTATTTATGCAACTTACCTACTTTTCCTGAATCTGTCCCCACACAAACACACCCAAACTCGGGACACTTTTTTATTGTCTCTCTGTTTCTCACACTGAAGAGCCCCAGGATGGTTCAGCACGAGACACAGATCCTGGGGAGTAAAGGGACACAGGTAGGAATGGAGGAATTTAAAAACCAATGCACCAGGCAGCACATCCCAGGAAATGCCAGTCACTTTCCAGGCCCTTAAACATCCCCACCTAGTTTCCTAAAAATGAAATATATTTATCTATTATGAACAAGACACAGACATTTTATTGGAAAAAAATGGCAATAATAATAAATTACCTTTCAGCACATGCTAGTAAAATATACCATGATTTTTACATCTCTGCAATAAAAGCTAAAATACCAAGTTACAGTGGAAATATCAGGAACATAATGGGGATACAGTAAATGATCCCACCTAATTGCTTGTGCTTGCTCTTCCTAAGCAGCTTACTGTATTTCCTTACCTCCCTCGGTTGGAAAAACAATAATCCATCCGCGGGTGTTTACATGCAAGAAATTCAACAGAGGTTCTTAGGAAAACCTTTGCGCTCCAGACCAGATAAGATAACTGCAAAGACAGAGGGGGAAGCTGATGTGTTTGACAGGGGCGGAGGGAAGGAAAGCCCATCCCTGTGACTACTGGTCCCTTTTCCCCACCCTGCTCACTGCCGTTCGCCTCTTCTTGGATTCCAGAGCTGCTTTTATTCCTCAGCAGCCTTTCCACAGCCTCGTGGCTTCAGGCACACTTGGAAATTGTAAAACTGTGGCTTGTTTCAGAGAGAGAAGAAAGGAGAGCAGATGGCTCTGGTTTGGATTCTTTTATGCACCCAGAAGATGTGTTTGCTGGCTCTGTAATTAACTCAAAAAGGGGGGAAGAACATTTGTTAAGGACAGAGTGTGGATATGACTTGAACTTTTCACCAGGTAAGAAGTCACAGAATCTGTAAAGCGGAAGGAAAAAGTTATTGAAATATAAATATAAAAATATGAATTATATTGAAATATATTATATAGAAATACAAAACATATGAAAATATCTTTTAAATGATGTTTTATACTGACCATCACATTTAAAATTGGATGCAAACTTTCATCAGATTTTATCTATCAAATACCTCAAAACTTAATTAACAGATGATGCTTTCAACCCACATTTGGTCATTTCAAAGAGATGGGGACTATCTATTCTTAGAATAGGTAAGAAAGAACTCAGAGAAAGAGACTTTCTAAAACTAATTTGATTTTAGACTGTGCTTTTAACTTTGTTTTGCTTCTACATGATTTGATAGTATTTCTGCAGCTGGAGGAACGAAAGCGCTAAACTAATTGCCTTATAATTTCTCATATTGGTAAATTCTCACTGTTTCTAATAGAGAATCTTTCTATAATGCACGGATTAGGGATGGAAAGTCACAGAGATATTAGTTCTCACATTAAGCACTTCAGTGCAATTTTGACACGAGCCGCAGTCGCGGCTCAAGGATGCTCATTCCGTTAATATTTATAAATCTCAAATCCTACATAATTTGTTATAAATGCCAGTCTAAATTACAATGTATTTCAACATGCTGCAGTGCATACTAATATATACTGTTTTTTCTAGTGCTATGAATACTTCAGATTTTTAAACAAGATAGTGGTTTCATTGCAAAATAAATGTTTAAATTACCTTTCAGCATGACATGTTACTACAGAATAATCTTTTTAGTTTGCAGCGCAGAGTAAATAGTTAAAGTTTTCTCTTTTTTTTTAACTGAAAAAAAAAAAAGAAGAATGATGATGTAGATGATGAGGGTGTCTGAAGCTGACGTGCTGAGTGAACTGATTAGCAGGTTAATAAAGGGACTTTCCCTAGAGGCAGAAATTGCTGAAGGAGCCTCGAGACCCACAATGAATTCCCAAAAGGGAACATCCAGCTCCGATATCAAACCCTTGTTGTGCAGCCATGGATAAATAAGAGTAGCAAGTAGTGCATAAAATATTACAAAACTGGCTCAGCCTCGTGTCCTCTGAGTCCCTACAGCTTCTCCTCCTTACATAAAGGGCAGGGTATGGATCTTGGTACTAAGCCAGTACTAACTCCTGGTCTCCTTAAAGGACAGCGTTCCGATCTGGGCAAGGTGGGTGGGGAGATCAGTGCAAATTGGACAATCACCCTTGGGATAACACAGACCTTAGACTCTTTCACACTCCAAGCTGGCAGCAAGGAACATCACAGCAGCATTTACTGCTCGTTGGCCTCTTGCTCTTCCCGCACACGCATCCTTCTGCGCCAGTAAATCCAGCCAGGCAAGTCCAGGGACTCTAAGGACACGTAACCTAGGGGGTCTTCCAGGAAACCCGTTGCCCAAAGGTCTGTTTTGATTGTGGTAATCAATCCTACATATGTTTTCTTTTTCCCCCATAGGCTCTTAATCTGAAGCACCCAAACTAACGTCAAGCAGAAGTATCAGAGTAAAACAGTCTGGGATATAACTTCAGCTGAAAAAGTCTCTGGTTAGTTGCGGGTAACAAAACAGTCACAAAAATCATAGGTCTCAGTCTAGTCCTGAGTTTGGTGTTTAAACCTGTGAAAGTCACGGAATATTTTCTATTCCTTGGTGATTAAATGATGGGAATTGCTTCAGTCAAAAGGCTGCTAAGTCTTCTACAGATTACACTCATTACTTCTATTACTGACAAGGTACCTCTCCTGCTTTGTGCATCTTCTAACTCTCCACTACTTTTTCATCCCATTATCTCCTCAGGGCTCTCACTCTACGGTGTTTAGTACTAGGGGTGAAGAACTGCCTTTCTTCCAGCTAATTTTCCAATAATTCCTACTTTCTAAGGAGTTAAGGTGAGTTATGAATTATGTTTCAAAAAGTTCATGCATTGAAAGTTCATATATTGAGGACAAATTCTGCCATCTTTCAAGTTTAAAAGTAAATCTTATCTTTCTCTTTTTTTTTTTTTTTTTTCCCTCTCCTCCTGTCTCCTTTCCCAGGTTGGAAACAGCCTCTTTCTGTCCAGAAGGCCAGTGAGCCTTTGATTTGAGGTTAACTTTTTAACTCACTGCTAAATTCAAACCCATCAAGATACTCAGCTGAAGCTGATTCTTCCCATACTAGTTTTAAAACAACAGGACTATATTGATATCAGATTTTTGTTTGACACCCATTTAGGTTAGATCTGAAGGGCAAAGCAACTCTAGCTCTCTAAAGCACACATTGCATTTAACCCCAGTAAAGGTTTTGGGTATCATTTGTCAAACTTCAACAACAGTGTGTAGGGAAAACAAAAATATAACCTCTAGCTACTATTGGTAAAGAAATCCTTTTGTGGATAACCAAGATGCAATCTCTGTCTGGCTTATGTTTTTCTCAGATTAGATTGAGCGATAAGGACACACCAGCTTCAACACACACAGATGCAAAAAAGGAAACTCCCGTACACATGTCATTCATAAAAGTGTGTTGTATATCACTTATGCTCAAGCACACATCCTTTTGAATCAAGTCAGAGGGATCTGGTATATTATCTCATTATCACGTATAGCTTTAGAGAAAAAAAACTTATGTCTGCAGTTAGCCATTTGATGGAACAAGCTGGTTCTTCATTTTTTTTTGATAGTAAACAGGAGATGTGTCTCATCAAAATTCTTCAAACCTTGCTAAATTATTGGCTGAGACAAATCTTAAAATATTTTGTCTTGGAAAGCAAAATTTATCTGCATTTGATAGAAGAGATTTTGTAAGAAAATCACTGTGCAACTTGAAACAGAGCTGTCACTGCTCTCTCTAATACATCACAGGTAGTTCTGTAAGGGAGACCCATGGTTCTATAGCACTATCAGTGCTGAAAAAGGTAGCATCAATCCCCATCCAGATAACTGTGCCAAACCAAGACTACTTTTCATTTGTTTTTCTTTTCAGGATTCTTCGTGCTGTAAACACTTGTGAAACTTTGAGCAAAACTAATACAAAACCAAATACAAAGACAGAACCATACTCATCACAGCCTTGAAAAGCCCTAGACAAAATATTTCACAAATAGTAAAGGTGGGGGCATGGATACACCCCCGTATACGTGCAAAATAGGTAAATTTTGTCCATAGTTTGGGAGATGCTTCATGATGGATAAAGCCATTCAGGACCCTAGTGAGGTTCTGTCTAATGAAACCATTTTGAACAACAGCTATTCTCAGTTTTTAAACTTTGATACGTGTCAGCTTTCCTTTCCTGCGGTATTTGTGCTCATTACAGCTTATACTTTAGTGACCATAGTAGGGCTTTTTGGAAATCTTTGTCTGATTATTATAATAAAGAGACAGAAAGAAGCTCAAAATGTCACAAATATCCTGATTGCCAACCTCTCTTTATCAGATGTCTTAATCTGTATCATGTGCATTCCCGTCACAGTTGCCTATACCTTAATGGACTACTGGATATTTGGGGAAGCTATGTGTAAAATCAGCTCTTTCATACAAAGTATATCTGTCACAGTCTCCATTTTCTCACTTGTACTGATTGCTATTGAGAGGTACCAGTTAATTGTGAACCCACGTGGCTGGAAGCCTAGTATTTCCCACGCATACTGGGGAATTGTTTTCATCTGGGGGGTTTCTGTTATAATATCCATTCCTTTTTTAATATTTCACCAATTGACGGATGAACCCTTCAAACATCTATCTTCCCATCGTGACTTCTACAAGAACAAAGTTGCTTGCATCGAAGCGTGGCCATCTCTTATGGAGCGGCTGATTTTTACCACTAGCCTGCTGGTTTTCCAGTACTGCTTCCCACTGGGCTTTATTTTTATCTGCTATCTCAAGATATTTGTATGCCTCCGGAAGAGACATGGCAAAACAGATAGGATGAAGGAGAACGTGGGCCGCCTAAGCGAAAACAAAAGGATTAATGTGATGTTGATATCAATCGTGGTGACCTTCGCAGCTTGCTGGCTGCCTCTCAATATATTCAACGTTGTTTTTGACTGGAACTATGAGGCACTAATGAGCTGTAACCATAATCTAGCATTTACACTGTGCCACCTCGTGGCAATGATCTCCACTTGTATCAACCCCATCTTTTATGGATTGCTCAACAGGAATTTTCAGAAGGATTTGGGGGTGTTAGTTCACCACTGCAGATGCTCAGCTTCACCAGAGGAATACGAGAACATTGCCCTCCCCACTCTGCAAACTGATGCATCTAAGGGATCTCTAAAATTAAATACTGCCCCTGTGGATATCTAAACCGCTGCCTATATCTAACTGATATCTAACCGCTAAAGTTAGCGAGGCAATTTTTGTGAGTTTAGTTTTGCACAAAAAGGACTACACTCCCTCGTGTAGACACTGCTAGCAGGCACTTTATGACAACACTAATTACTAATAAACCACTTCTAGGAGGCTTAAAGATCAATAGCAATAGATTAACAACAATATTAATGTTTTAGTCTCTTAATCCACAAATTTCTGGTCGCTTTAGCACCAATAAAACTCCCTCCATCGGAGCCAGTGACACAGCTGCGCTGCCAAGACCCTGGCTCTGCCCAGGAAACTGAAATTTATGGCACCCCCAACCTCATCAGACACCTTTCTGGCCTTCTGATTTCCCCCTCTTCCATCTTCTTCCCATCTCAGCTATCTGGTTACCCTGCACAAGAGCTTTTAGGCTCCTAAATTATGCTAAACCTCCACCAACATCATCTTCTCCATCCCACTACATCAGTAGCCTTGACTGAATACCAGTTGAGCCTAGAAATTGAACCTCTACCAGGAAAAAGGCTGGAGTTAGAAC